GTATTACAAATTACTCTGGGTATTATTGTACTACCCAAACTGGCTTAGTATGCAGCAAGTTACTGTAAAAAGTGTAGATTTTTTGTTGTTGTTGCTCGAGATATAAACTAATATCTGCATTTTTATAGTGAGAATTTTGATATTGTATATGTTATTTTAGTGTTTCCTAAATTAGAATGGATGAGGTTACTCTTATGCCTTGGTTGCACTTAGTCGTATACTTTCTTTTTCTATCACTTCCCTTTTAACAAGTTAATAAAATTAAAAATAATTTTGCACTTAATTAGTTTGTGTATATACTCTGTGTATATATATATATACATACACCAATAATTGGTTTAAAAATAGTTGTATACCCCTAACTTTTGTGGTTTTATGTTAAGATTATTATTTTTTCTTCCTCTTTTTGGCTTTTTCTCATCTCCTTTCAAATTGGTATTAATTTATAATGTTTTACATATATGGTCTTCTCTCTTGTAATGCTATAGAATATGCATATTCATATGCACTTTCAGAGAAGTAATTAAAAAATGTGTTCTCCAGGAGCATAATTCAGAAGGCTGAGGAGGGGTTGTTGAGGTGGATTGGGCATATAGAAAGGGTTGAGAGGGCTTGGATGATGATAGTGTGTAACTGTGCAGTGGAAGGTAAGAGGGGGGGTTAAGTCATCCCAGTAATGTTTGGAGGGAGGGGGTAAAGGAGGCTTTGAGTTGTAGGGGGCTTGAGCATGCAGCAGGCTTGTATGAGCAAGTCAGAATTTTTTTTATATATATATATAATATATACAGTATATACACATGTGTATATATATACAGTGGTACCTTGACTTTCGAGTTTAATTTGTTCTGTGACCGAGCTCGTAACTCAATTTGCTCGTATATCAAATCAATTTTCCTCATTGAAATTAATTGAAATGCCATTAAGCCGTTTCAGCCCCCAAAAAACCACCCCAATTTTTTTGCTACGGGTTTTTAAATAAGAACCACCTTCACTACTCCATGCACCACCATCTCTACTACACCCACCACCCTCACCACTCCACCCACCATAATCACTACTACACCCACCACCATCTCTACTCCACCCACCACCATCTCTACTTCACCTACCACCCTACACTACTCCACCCACCATTATCACTACTCCACCCACCACTATCACTACTCCACCCACCACTATCACTACTCCACCCACCACTATCACTACTCCACCCACCACTATCACTACTCCACCCACCACCCTCACTACTCCACCCACCACTATCACTACTCCACCCACCACCCTCACTACTCCACCCACCACTATCATTGCTCCACCTACTGAAGGAACCTCCATGAGGCAGGTAAATATCACGGAGGCCTTCTTTAATGTTCCTGGAGAAACTCGGAGTGTTGAAATGGAGGTTACCTCTTCCCCGGATTTATACGAGAACCAAACAAGGGACGAGGTACCTCACTACAATCTGGGATTAGTGTTGGATTATTATCCTTCCAGTTATATCTTGGAAGAGCGTGTGGGATGGGACAAAGTACCTAACATTCCTCTGGGTACAGAGTAGGACTTGATTTCAAGTACGCTGCCAATTAGTGGCGGCGTATCTGAAGCTCGCTCGTAACTTGGATTTTGGCTTGCAACTCAAAGCAAAAAATCGACTGAGCGACGGCTCGTAACTCGGAAACTTCTAAGTTGCAACCGAAGTACAGGTACCACTTATACAGTGGACCCCGCATACGTTACCTTCATAGACGTATATCGCATACCAGCTCACATTTATCGCCAAGTGATTGTTGCAGCTCGCATACCGCTAAATAAACCCGCTCAACGACTGTTCATCTGATACGGTCTATTGCGGCTGAGCACGCTCGACATGTCGCCAGTGGGCATGTAACCAGCCAGCCTCGCGCGGTAACATCAAGATACAATCGTGAACATTCGATTAGTACAGTTGATTTTGCTGATTATCGTAAAAAACAGTACCATGGCCGAACTTTGTGCCACCCTACAGCTGGTGGCATGTACAAGTCAGCGATCAATGCATAAGTATGAACACTGTCAGTGCTGTCTCTGCTGAGTGCCAGTCTGTAAAAAACCTGCCATGCAACCATGCTCTATGCTGGTACAGCTCTGCTGCTGCTGTACCACCGTCAGCTGCTGCTGCTGCTGTACCACGTCAGCTGCTGCTGCTGCTGTAGTACCATCTGCTGCTGCTGTAGCATCATCTGCTGCTGCTGTAGCATCGTCTGCTGCTGCTGTAGCACTGTCAGCTGCTGCTGCTGTTGTACCACCGTCAGCTGCTGCTGCTGCTGTAGTACCGTCTGCTGCTGTAGCATCGTCTGCTGCTGCTGTAGCATCGTCTGCTGCTGCTGTAGCACTGTCAGCTGCTGCTGCTGTTGTACCACCGTCAGCTGCTGCTGGTGCTGTAGTACCGTCTGCTGCTGCTGTAGCATCGTCTGCTGCTGCTGTAGCATCGTCTGCTGCTGCTGTAGCACTGTCAGCTGCTGCTGCTGTTGTACCACCGTCAGCTGCTGTGCTGCTGTAGTACACGTCGTTTGCTGCTGTAGCATCACTGCTGCTGCTGTACACGTCATGCTGCTGCTGTGTACATCGTCTGCTGCTGCTGTAGCATCGTCTGCTGCTGCTGTAGCACTGTCAGCTGCTGCTGCTGTAGCACTGTCATGCTGCTGCTGTTGTACCACCGTCAGCTGCTGCTGCTGCTGCTGTAGTACCATCTTGCTGCTGCTGTAGTCACGTCTGCTGCTGCTGTAGCATCGTCTGCTGCTGCTGTAGCACGTCTGCTGCTGCTGTAGCATCGTCTGCTGCTGCTGTAGCATCATCTGCTGCTGCTGTAGCACTGTCGCTGCTGCTGCTGTGTACCACCGTCAGCTGCTGCTGCTGTTGTAACCGTCCTGCTGCTGCTGTAGTACCGTCTGCTGCTGCTGTAGCATCGTCTGCTGCTGCTGTAGCATCGTCTGCTGCTGCTGTAGCATCGTCTGCTGCTGCTGTAGCACTGTCAGCTGCTGCTGCTGTTGTACCACCGTCAGCTGCTGCTGCTGCTGTAGTACCGTCTGCTGCTGCTGTAGTACCGTCTGCTGCTGCTGTAGCACCGTCTGCTGCTGCTGTAGCATCGTCTGCTGCTGCTGTAGCACTGTCAGCTGCTGCTGCTGCTGTAGCACTGTTGTTGGTGTGGCTTATTGAGAATACCAAGAAACAATTAACCCCAGAGGATTTGCCACCCAGGATAACCCAAAAAAGTCAGTGTCATCGAAGACTGTCTAACTTATTTCCATTGGGGTCCTTAATCTTGTCTCCCAGGATGCAACCCACACCAGTCGACTAACACCCAGGTGAACAGGGAAAAATGCCTGGAACTAGTGCTCATATTGGTGAATTTAAAGCCAGCAAAGGTTGGTTTGAGAGATTTAAGAATCGTAGTGGCATACACAGTGTGATAAGGCCTGTTCTGGAAGAAAATGCCAAACAGGACCTACAGTACTCAGGAGGAAAAGGCACTCCCAGGACACAGTGTCTCATCAGTCATTGCTGCATCTTCAGTAAAGGTAAGTGTCATTTATTCTTCATTTAGTAGAGTAGTACAAGCACAATATATGTGCATGTACTACTCTACTATTGTGCATGTATCCTTCTCTTTGTGTGTAGGAAAATGTATATTTCATGTGGTAAAATTTTTTTTTCATACTTTTGGGTGTCTTGCACGGATTAATTTGATTTCCATTATTTCTTATGGGGAAAATTCATTCGCATAACGATAATTTCGCATAACAATGAGCTCTCTTGCACGGATTAATATCGCTATGCGGGGGTCCACTGTACTATATAGTATATATAGTATGAACGTGTTGTTGGTGCATGGAGGGTAACCCTGTCCTGGTGGGAGACAGCCCAATGGTAAAAGAAAAAATGCATAATTAATACAATGGAACCTTAAACGGCCTCTCCAGGTTTTGGCCATTTTGAGTTTCGGTCACTTTTTTCGCCTAAGTTTTGTCTTAAGTTTTGTACAGTACCTCGAGTTTTAACCGCTGTACCAGACATGTCCGCCTGCCTGCGCCCACACAAAGCATCGCATGCATGCGTTCCGAGTCAGTCTGGCTTTGTTTCTCGTCGAGTGAACATTATTCTGTGTTTTCATACAGAACATTTCACAATACATTGTTTTTTTGTGCTTGTTTATTGAGTGCGACTGCTAAATAAGCCACTATGTTGCCAAAGAATCCTTCATTATTATGCTAATATCAACACTATGGTTTATTTATCTCTCACAATTGATCTAATGTGACATAAACACTACAAACAAAATAGAAACATGAAATATATTCTAGAATGAATAAAATGTGTCATTATATGAAGTGTTTTGAAGGACAGTCCGACATAAAATAAGTACCTCTCTGAACATGTCTCCCTGTTTTCTCTTATCCTGGGATAAGAGAAAACAGTGTGTGATGCTAACTGCACTAGATAATAAAAATAATGTTTATTTCCTTGAAAAGCTTACAATGTGTGGTTTACATAGGCTTACAAGGAAGGCCTATAGCATGCCTAGGAATACAGGAACACTGAAAAAAAAGTGATTTCTTCAGTGATTAAGGAATGTGTGCAAAGTCAATAAGAGTCTTCAGTAAAGGTAAAAGTGATGTTAAATGTTCATTTATCCATTTCATTAGTCATTTATTTGTATTTCTAATTGTTTTCTGAATGCAAAACTATATTCTTTAAAAAATGTATTTTTAATATTTTTGGGTGCCTTGAATGGATTAATTGGCTTTACATTATTTCTTATGGGAAATATTGCTTTGACTTTCGAACAATTGAGTTTTGGCCGAGCTTCTGAAATGGATTAAGTTCGAAAATTGAGGTACTGCTGTATATGCAAACTTCTCTGTATAATAGGTGCATATTTTTGGGAAGAATAGGTACAGGTCTTCCATCACAAATCCGGCATCATTGGGACCTGTAGTGTGTCGGATTACTGAGTTTGCCGA